TCAGATAACAGGCCCTGTGTTGTGAATGAATTTATAGGTAGCAACCAGCACCATAAATTGCACCCAGATCCATCTGCAGCCAATGCCTCTCACTTAGCAGTGATGACATAGGCAGTGTTACCACTCATGCAATTGCATTTTACCCTCCAGGTGTAGGTTCTGGATGGTTTTCAAGGGCAGCCCCATGTGGAGCATATTGTAATAGTCCAGTTTTGAACTGACCAAGGCATAAGTAACTCTGAAGGGCCTGTTGGTTGAGGGAAGGACACATCCCGCGCACAAGATGGACTCGTGTAAAGGCTCTCCTGGCCACAGCTGCCATGAAGCAGGACCACCCCCAAATTGTGCATCAATCTTAAAATGGGGAAGAGTAACCTTATCCAATACCAGTGGTAAAAACATCCCAAACCCCGCAGGGGGGGGGGACGACAACGGACAATCACAAGTCCATCCAGATTCAAAGATCTCAGTTTTATTTTAGAGGTTACATGATTTTACAAATTAAAATGTAATTATCTTTCAAGATTTTGTTGAAGAGGTTTCAAACTTGGTGCTATAATAAGTCACCTTCAATGGGCAGAATGAAATACAGTGTGCACTCTTACTCAAATTAGAATTATGCTGTAAAAGGATAAAGGTTTCCCTTGAGTCCAACACTAGGGGGCAGTGTTCATCTCCATTTCCTAGCTGAGGGAACTAGCATTGTGGAAGACTATTCCATGGTCATAAGTATATACCGAGGTGCACAGAATGCTGTTACCTTCCCACTGAAGTGATGCCTATTTATCTACATGCATTTGCTTGCTTTCAAACTGCTAGATGGGTAGGAGCTGTGGCAAGGACGGGAGCTGACCCTGTCACACTGTCCTTTGGTGTTCGATTGCAAAGCTTCCAGTAAATTTTATACACAAGCTAAAGAGTAAATGCAAAAAGGCATCAATTATTAGAATTGATATACAATATTTTAAAAAATACTTGCCCATTGATTTTATTGACACTATGAGTAATGACTTCAAGGGACTACATGTTATTAATTTTAAGCTTGTGTTTTGGTATTTTGCAGGGGTATTACAAAGTCCTGGGCAAAGGAAAGCTGCCCAAGCAGCCTGTCATTGTGAAAGCAAAATTCTTCAGCCGAAGAGCAGAAGAAAAAATAAAGGAAGTTGGAGGAGCCTGTGTCCTAGTGGCATAAATGTTGATATATGTATGCAGACTAAATGACAGGCATGAATAAACTATTTCAGATGTTGGAGTGACTTTTCATCAGAATATTCTCGCAATTACATTCAATATTAGAAAGTTGATTTTTGAGAGGAATTGTAGAACTGGAAAATAACATTTAGGCCACCAATCCAATTTCCAGGTTTGAGTTCCTCTCATTCAGGAATTAGGAAATCACCTCCTCCCCAGTTAGTTGATTCCACTATCAAAATTATGTTTATAGTAGTTTTTTTTTTCCAGTGCTTAAAGTTTTTTCCAGTGCTTAAAGCAGAATGTTCCATTTTCCTTGTTCCTTGCATTGTGGGATAATAGAAAATTGCCCATGTATGATATTGTCCCTTGTACTTGAATGTTGTATTTGCATCACAACAATCTTAATAAAAATAGACAATTCCCACAGTCTTATAACAGTGGGAATAATACTCTCTATTATCCTTTGCTATTTTATTCTGAATTGTGGCAGTGAGGGACATCCCAACTTATCTTAAATCCTACACTGACAGTGCTGGGTAGGATTAAATCTATCCCAGAGGAAAAAGAAGCTGAAAAATAAGTATTATGAATGCAAAATTACAGCCAAGGCACCAATGGTCCAGCTGTAGCCACCGCTACCTGCCTAGTTAATGGGGAGGAGCCTAGTGATGTATTCAAGAAGGAACTCTCCACTCGGAGTGGGCAGACATTTTCTTTCCAGGTGCTGCCTGGGAAAGAGGGTTAAAATGACACTACCTTCCTTAATTGGAGAGTTTGTCCCATAAAATGGAACAAAGCAAGAAAGGAGTCAAGCCCAGGAGATGACAGAGAAGTGGGAAAGAATACAAAGGCAACATCTCAGCAGCAGTCTTTCTACAGCAAAAGAAAAGTGCAAGACTAGCTGAAGGAGTTTTGGGAAGAGCAAGAGTCTCACCAGCCTGCAAGCCCAGTGTGCAACGGTTCAGAGGCAGAATTCATAAATCTGTTCCACAAACAGATGGGGGAGGGAGAAAAAAATTATTCACAAGTCCAGAAGAGCAAAAAATCATTTTCACATTCGAACGGACTGGGATTGGCTATTGCAAGAACTGAAGACTTGGAAATAGGAAGAAAAGGAAAAACCGAAAGAGTTAAGATAGGACTGATACAGAACGTAAATGGTTGTAAATTTATATTAACAGGAAGACTAGATAAAGACAAGAAAATAGAAACAATTACTGTTGAAAGGAACAGGAATTTGTTATAACAAAAGTTTTGTGAGAAAATTCAAATGTACTGATTAAGAAAAAACAAACCCTAACACAGACTGTAATGATGTGTGGGACATTGGCACTTTGTGGCCAAAGGAGTTGCATACTATTTAAAAAAATATGANTTAAATTTAGCATTCTAGACTGAATAACTTTCTAGACTAAATTCCAATTAATAGCTTTTGTTTTTTACTATAGGTAAACACAGGAAACATCCTGGAGGCCGTGGAAATGCTGGTGGTATGCACCACCATAGGATTAACTTTGACAAATAGTAAGCTACTTTTCCTTTTTCTCTCACAACTGCCTTCTGTATTTCAGTTTTATGTAATATAAAGAGCAGACTTATGTTATGAACCAAGATCAATGTACCCTGGATACATTTTGTTACCTATTTACTGAAACAAAGCTGTACACAGTTCTATGATATTTGCCCACTATTTGAGTTTTCTGACCAGGTGATGGAAATTGCCCAGCTCAACACATCTAAATGTTTTAATAAAATGTTTAGGATTGCAATTGTCATTTCTAAATCATTATCAGAAGTGACTTACAAATAGCTGAGACTAGAGTCACATCTTGGTGCTGCCAGTGATCATGGTGTGCTATTGTACTCAGAGAGTAACAACTGACCTTTATTCACTGACTGTCTCTTTCCCAACACAGTCAGCCACCAGGTTAGTAACAGAAACTCTGAATGATTAAGAAATTATATGTTTTCTAAAACGAAATGATGTAACTAGCCACCATTCTTCCCTGTTAACAAAAACACTTTTATACCTGGCCATTGATGGATGCTGGTGTTTCTGCTTGAAAGTAGAAATAGCATAGGGAGAGAGTAGATGGAGGGGAATAGCATTGAGTACAGGAAATAAGTTTGTAATAACCATATTAATATAATTAGATTTTATGTGTTGAAGATCTAGAAGTCTGTGGAGATTCTTAGTCATCCAGGATGTCCCAAAGATGCTTTTTCACAAGGCAGCTGGACTTTCTTTTTTCTCTTTGAAGATGTTTCGCTTCTCATCCAAGAAGCTTCTTCAGCTCTGACTGGATGGTGGGGAATGGAAGGATTTATACTCCTTGTAGACAGCTAATCATTTGCATTCTTTTAGAGAGTTCTTGATGCCATCTGGAGGCTTATCTGTATCATCAGGGTCACCTGAATAGTGCAAATGGGCGTGGAGACTTCTTGGAACTGTTGAAAGGACTATGTTGTAAACTGTATATCTCCCCCCGTTGAGAGAGGGTTGTTCAAAATATGACATCATCTTCAGTGTATAACAGTCCTTTCAGCAGTTCCAAGAAGGTTCCACTCCCATTTGCATACGTCCAGGTGGCATCAAGGACTCTCTAAAAGAATGCAAATGACCAGCTGTCTGCAAGGAGTATAAATCCTTCCATTCCCCACCATCCAGTCAAATCTGAAGAAGGTTCTTGGATGAGAAGCGAAACATCTTCAAAGAAGAAAAAAGAAAATCCAGTTGCCTCGTGAAAAAGCACCATTGGGAAGATCTTAGAAGCTTGAACTGAAGACAAAAGGCATTCCTTCTACAAAGTATAGAATACCCTGTGGTAAGATGGGTGGCCAATAAGTTAGATGATTGATAGATAGATAGATAGATAGATAGATAGATAGATAAAATTTTGTATTTTTTAGTTAAGATTACCATTGAATGTCATAATGCATTGCCTAATAAATTTACTTTGCATGTAATTTTTTTTCACTAGCCACCCTGGTTATTTTGGAAAGGTCGGTATGAGACATTACCACTTGAAAAAGAACCAGCACTTCTGCCCGACAGTGAATCTGGATAAGCTCTGGACGCTTGTTAGTGAGCAGACAAGGCTGAATTATGCTAAAAATCCAGCAGGACTAGCTCCAGTTATTGATGTTGTACGCTCTGTAAGTGTTCTCATCTGTTTTTTTAAAATTCCTATTTATTATGTCTGTCTATTCCAGTAAATGAGCAGCTTACAACATTAAAATACACAATTTAAAATAAAATGTAATAGCCTGATCTAAAAACAACCAAAGCAATAAAAATATGACACACACACACATTTATTCCTTGGAACAGAACCAGATCTTAAAGGTCTTCCATAGCCAGGAGAGTGAGCACTATGTGTATCTTTGGGGGGATGATAATTCTGGAGGTCAAGGCAGCAACAGAAAAGGCACACTTACTTGTCCCACAAGATGACAATGTTTAATAGAGGGGACCTTGAATGCACTTGCTCTGCCCGAATGTACCAAGTGGGCAGAAACAACTAGAAGTAAGTAGTCCCTCAGATAACAGGCCCTGTGTTGTGAATGAATTTATAGGTAGCAACCAGCACCATAAATTGCACCCAGATCCATCTGCAGCCAATGCCTCTCACTTAGCAGTGATGACATAGGCAGTGTTACCACTCATGCAATTGCATTTTACCCTCCAGGTGTAGGTTCTGGATGGTTTTCAAGGGCAGCCCCATGTGGAGCATATTG